TGTAGAGCATCTGAAGATATTCCATTAATCTTGAAGCTCTGAAGACCACTTTTGTCGAAGCGGTACAGAAAGAGTGCACAATTCGAAGCGTGAAGAGAAAGATGACGATTCGAGACAACCAGCTCAGACTGGGTATGTGTGTGTGTGTGTGTGTGTTGTGTGTGTGTGTGTGTGTGTGTGTGTGGGTGTGTGTGTGTGTGTGTGTGTGTGGGGGTGGGTGCGTGCGTGCGTGCGTGCGTGCGTGCGTGCGTGCGTGCGTGCGTGCGTGCGTGCGTGGGTGGGTGGGTGGGTGGGTGGGTGGGTGGGTGGGTGGGTGGGTTGGCTGGCTGGGTGGGTGGGTGGGTGGGTGGGTGGGTGGGTGTGTGTGTGTGTGTGTGTGTGTGTGTGTGTGTGTGTGTGTGTGTGTGTGTGTGTGTGTGTGTGTGTGTGTGTGTGTGTGTGTGTGTGTGTGTGTGTGTGTGTGTGTGTGTGTGTTTGTGTCTGTGTGTGTGTCTGTGTCTGTGTCTGTGTCTGTGTCTGTGTGCGTGTGTTGCGTCTGTGTGCGTCTGTGAGCGTCTGTGTGCGTCTGTGTGCGTCTGTGTGTCTGTGTGTCTGTGTGTCTGTGTGTGTGTGTGTGTCTGTGTGTCTGTGTGTGTGTGTGTCTGCGTGTGTCTGTGTGTGTCTGTGTTCTGTCTGACTCTGTGTGTGTCTGTCTGTGTGTCTGTCTGTGTGTCTGTCTGTGTGTCTGTCTGTGTGTCTGTCTGTGTGTCTGTCTGTGTGTCTGTCTGTGTGTCTGTCTGTGTGTCTGTCTGTGTGTCCGTCTGTGTGTCTGTCTGTGTGTCTGTCTGTGTGTCTGTCTGTGTGTCTGTCTGTGTGTCTGTCTGTGTGTCTGTCTATCAGTGTGTCTGCCTGTCTGTGTGTCTGTCTGTCTGTCTGTCTGTCTGTCTGTCTGTCTGTCTGTCTGTCTGTCTGTCTCTGTCTGTGTGTCTGTCTGTCTGTCTGTCTGTCTGTCTGTCTGTCTGTTTGCCCCCCATATGTCTCTCTCTGTCTGTCTGTCTCTCTCTGTCTTTGCTTTGCTTTGCTCGGGGTTTGAGACGGGAGCAGTCCCCCCGTCCCGCGCGAGTGCGCTACCCCATCCATCATTTGGAAAGGATGGGCTCGGTCTATACAAGACTGACTTACATAGCAAAGGGTGCTCCGAAACTGTGTTCCCCGTATGGGGTGTTTGTTTGCTCGCACCGGCACTGTTAAGAATCTGGTATGAAAAAAGGCTGTGTGTACGAGGGGAAAAACGTGCTTGAATTAACGGCCATGCAAGTCTTATGCAAGCTGTTGGCACACCATTCTAGGGTTCATGGAAATGAGCGGGTGCCCCTCAACACAAATTAAAAGGTAAGTTAGGTGGCTTCAGAGTGTCGCGTTCACTTTTTCCACCGGTGGCAGAGGTGTTGTTCACGGATCCGGGTGTCCCCGGCGAGTTGCATGGGTGTACATCAGACATATGTCCCAAAACTTGTAGCCACTGGTGCCTCGCCTTTGTAGTCGGCGCTCACTTCTCTCACCTGTGCCTTCGAGGTGCTGCAGCTGTGTCGTCGTCCTTTGGTCCTGGGTCGTCGTTGGCACTTGGTGTCCTGTGCCTCCGCGGTGCTGCAGCTGTGTCTGGGTCGTCGTCGGCCACGGGTGTCCTTTGCCTTCTCGGTGTCCCTGCCACTATCACGTTCATGCCGGGCTTCGTGTCCCCCGTCCAGTCTAGTCCCTCTTTAGCGTCTGGTTGAGGTCGCCTGCGAGGGAGAGGTGGTCGAGCAGCTTGATCTCGCTGTTGCCCTTTTGAACGATGTGGTTCTCCCCCTGGTGTCGCGTCTTCACTCTGAGTTCCTCCATCAAGTGGCATGTTGCCCCTCCCTACTACCGGGCCACCTCCGGAGAGGGCCGGTTTCAGGAGAGGTCTTCGCGACCCTTTGGGCACTTGAGAGCCCGACATGTTACGGCGAAAAGCCTCAAGCCACCCCCCGCCCTCGGCACGTCCACCCCCCAAGCCCACAGAGATAACCGTCTGTGGTCTCGAGGGGCCGGCCGAAAAGCGACCCGCTCCGAGGAGCAGGCAGGCGAGCTCTCTCTGTCTCTCTCTCTCTGTCTCTCTCTGTCTATCTCTGTCTGTCTCTGTCTGTCTCTGTCTGTCTCTGTCTGCCTCTCTCTGTCTGCCTCTGTCTGTCTCTGTCTGTCTCTGTCTGTCTCTGTCTGCCTCTCTCTGTCTGCCTCTGTCTGTCTCTGTCTGTCTCTGTCTGTCTCTGTCTGTCTCTGTCTGCCTCTCTCTGTCTGTCTCTGTCTGTCTCTGTCTGTCTCTGTCTGTGTCTCTCTCTCTCTCTCTCTACCGGGCGTAGGGATCGGGCCAGCGTCCAGGGCCCTCCCCCTGTGCGAGGTCGCACACCCGCATTTCACGGGTTGTCCACTATCCCCCGTCGGTTTCACGGAAAGGGGCTCGGCTTTACTTGTAAAGAGAGAAGGCCGGTATCTGTCCCCCCCCCAGAGTCAACAACAGTGCCCAAACAAAAGCTAAAGCAGCGAACCATGCAGAGCATATACCGGCCTTCTCCGGGAGCAAGAGGAAAAGGCATGCTGTTCCCCGCGGTTTCACACGGGTAGCTCTGGACATGTCAAGGTCGGAAAGGGGCGAATTATGGCCTCTTGTCCCCCGAATTCAGTCGCGAAAGGTGTGCTGAAAAGAAACCAGGATTAGGGGCCTTTGTCCAGCCCATTGGAGTGAGTTTGCCCGAGAAGGGCCATGTCGGCCCGTATAAAGAATTCACACCGGGACGCAGCTTCGCTGGTACTTCCAGGTACACAGTGGGGTCGCAACGAAAGATCGAAGGTCTGTGCAAGTGCATGACAGCTAGGATGCATTACGGGAACGAGGGCAGGTCAGTGTCATCCCCCAAAAGAACAACAAAGCAAACCCAGTAAGGACACATCCCCCATCGCTCCCTCAAAACTTTTTACACGCGCCTTCACTCACTTTGTTCATCGTCGTCGCTCGCAGCTGGCCCGCATATGCTGTTGGACTTGCTGCACTGCCCTCCAACTCGGGTTGGGCCGGAGGTTGACTCTCAGAGGGCTGCGGCTTGGTGAACGAGGCCTTTGAGCCCCCAAGGTAGAGCTCGAACTGGCCGTGGGTTTCTCTGCCCCCCCCCCCCCCGGAGTCTGGCTGGCGTCGTCCTGGTCGACATTCTCGTTGAGGCTGTCGCTCCCCCAGTCCGGTGCATCGTCATTCACCTCCCCCGTCGTCGGGAGTGTCCCCTCCCCCGGTGCAGCAGGTGTACGGTTTTGTTCGTCGTCGGGCTTGCTCTTCTTGTCCTTGTGCTCCTTCTTGTCCCTGCGGCGCTTTCGGTCTTTGGTCTTCCCCTCCTTCTTGGTCTTCTTGTGCTCGGACTTCTCCGCCTTTTTGGTCTTCTTGTGCTGGGGCTTCGCTGGCTCATCCCCCTCACGAGTTGTCTAAGACCCGTTTCGACTGAGACAAGAGTGGGGCGACCTTCCACGGAAACCTCCCCACGTAGATCCTCAGCTCCTCTTCTTTTACGTGGGTTGTGCTTCCCCACCAGCTCCACCAGTTTGTCGGCATTCCTGCCGGTGGCACGCCTTTCGTTGTGGCGCTGCAGGCAGCACTTGTAGTCGGCGGCTTCCTCATCCGGCAGTGGTTCGCCCGTCGTCCAGCCCACATATTGTTGGGAACGCCAGAGGTAGTGGATGTCTCTCCCGATCCACCGGTCGAGCGGTCCTGGTTCATACAACAACGCCAGGCCGCCTTCTGTTTCGAAGCGGACGAAACGTGCCCATGGCTTCCCACCTCCCCCGCCTTCAGCGTCCTCTGGGCTGCGGGTCTGCACCAGTACTTTCTGCGCAGCTCCCCCGCATCGGAGGTCACATGCCCTCCCCGTGCTGGTGAAGGTGCCGTTGGCGACCATGGTCTTGTAGCATCCTTCCCCCGGCTCATGAGCTTTGTGGCAGAAGGGGCCTTGCAAACACGCCTTGCAACTCACCCCATCTCCTTGAGCACTTCTGCCAACTTACATTGCTCTTCCCAGGTGGTGTTGACCTTTGCGGGCTTTACAGATGGAGACCTCAAGCGCTGTCTCCCCCTTTGCCCGTCTTCCCCCCCCCGTCGTGGGGTTCTTTGAAGAGCTTGCCATCGAAGTAGACGTGGTACCGGTACTTTGCGAGATCACCGTGTGGTCCACAGGCAAAAAGTATGCCCTTTCCCCCTACTAGCGGGCCACCTTCCGAAGAAGGGCCGCGGTCGGGTTCCAGGTTGAGCGAGCCTACAAGGGGCCTCTTAAACAAAGTGGCAACGGGTATGCAGACTCAAGCAATGCTGGGGAAGACAGGAAGGCTCTCCCGGACAACCCCCTGCCTCCCCCCCGGCAAAGGGGCGTCACAGACCCCAAAGCACAGGTGCATTACTTGAGCCAAAATGGCTATGTCTGTGTCTGTCTGTCTCTGTCTGTCTCTGTCTGTCTCTGTCTGTCTGTGTCTGTCTGTGCCTGTCTCTGTCTGTCTGTCGGTTTGTCTGTGTCTGTCTCTGTGTCTGTCTGTCTGTCTGTCTGTCTGTCTGTCTGTCTGTCTGTCTGTCTGTCGGTCGGTCTGTCTGTCTGTCTGTCTGTCTGTCTGTCTGTCTGTCTGTCTGTCTGTCTGTCTCCATGTGCACGTGGGCGGGTGGGGGGGGGGGGGGTGAAACTGCGTTGGAATATGCAGCTGTCGATGTGCGTGTCGAAAACACTTCGGAGAAATAACCATCCAAGGTCTAGATATGTCTACTAGACCTAGTAGATCGTGAGCGACATGCTGGACTGCACCTCGGAAGCGTTTGCCGTTTGCATTTCTGATCGGCTCCACAAAGAAATCCACTCGCCTGGCCCGCAAAAATAACTCCAGAAGTTCAGAGAAAAGACTTCGGACAACAGATACACAAATCAGAATCAATCTAAAACCCGAAGCTGCAAAAATGCGCCTTCGTTTTCTCGGTCGCATCATGTGGTTGCATCCTTCTTTCTCTTTTTGGCACCTGTATCCTTGGCATGCTCGCTTTGCTGATCCTTATCCTTCGGGGTCTCACCATCTTGTTTCGTCTTCTCCTTCTCGCGCTGCTCTGTCTTCCCCTTGATTTGCTTTGGTTCCTTCTTGTCCGATGTATCCTGTTTTTTCTCTTTTGTCTCTTCCTTCTTCTTCTTTTCCTTCGTCGCCTCCTTTTTCTTGTCCTTCTCCTTTGTCTCCTCATTGACGTTTTCCTTCTCCTTTGTCTCATCTTTTCTTTTCTGCTTGTCCTTCGCATCCTCCTTGGCCTTCTTCTCCTTGTCTTTCGTCTCCGCTTTCTTCGCCTCGCTGCCCCCCGTCTCTGGCGTGTCATCCTTCTTTTTCTTCTCCTTGTCTTTCGTCTCCGCTTTCTTCGCCTCTCTGCCCCCCGTCTCGTCCTCCTTCTTTTTCTTCTCCTTGTCTTTCGTCTCCGCTTTCTTCGCCTCACGGCCCCCCGTCTCTGGCGTGTCCTCCTTCTTTTTCTTCTCCTTGTCTTTCGTCTCCGCTTTCTTCGCCTCTTTGCCCCCCGTTTCTGCCGTGTCCTCCTTCTTCTTCTCCTTGTCTTTCTGCTTGCCCTTATCTTTGGCACCTTCTGCGTAACAGTCCTTGTCCTTCGTCTTATCCACGTCCGGTTTCTTGTCCTTGCTCTTTGAGTTAAGCTTGGCCGTCTCTTTCGCTGCTGCTGTTTGTACGCCCTCTGACTGCTGCTGGCCTTCTTGCTGCACGTCATCTGTCCTCATCTTGTCATGCCCGGAGTCTCCTTTCGTCTGGATCCTGGCTTTTTGTTCCTCGGCGATGCTTCCATCAATCTCGCCTGTCCTTCCCTCGGCCAAATCCTAAGTCAGAGGCAGAGAGGTCGAGCATGGTGCACTACCTAACAAACAGAATAACAGAAGCATCGGCAGCGTCCGTCCTGCTCTTGATCTCCTTTTGCTCCTCCGTCGTCGGCAAGTTTCAGCTTCTCTTCTGGGTGTGGGTCGGCCGCAACCGGGTCTCGAGCCACCCCCGATCCTTCGAAAACAGACTGGCTTGTGTGTAGCGGGACGTCCTGCGGCGCATGCTGTGACTGCTCGCAAAGCAGCTCAAGTTCCTTGTGCTCTTCTTCAAGTTCCTTCTGAAGTTTGAGCTCATGCTGCCGCTGCTTCTCTTGTCTTTCCTGTTCCTCTAAAAGTTGCCGCTGGATGTCTTGCTGGAGCTGGCACATGGGGGAAGCGGACGAAGCCTCAACACCTCCGTCACCTCGAACCTGCAGACTCCAACGAATCAACTGTGAACATGATCAGCTTGCACCCCGCATGCCTAACTGATATTCTGGCGCCTTGTGACTTGTGCCTTCCTGCACCTGCTTTGCTGGGCTTCCGTCGCTCTTCTCCTTCTCGTGACGTTTTCGATCTCTGTCTCGAGATCGAGAACGTGATGGTCTGCGTCGATCCCGACGATTCCGGTCTCTGCGATCCCGGCTGCGGCTGCGGTCTTTGCGACTGCGGCCTCGCCGTCTACTCCTGCGAGAGACATTTTCTTTGTCGTCGACCTAGCACCACGTGGCAGGACCTGTCCTGGACTTCCTCTTCCGCGAGCGCCTTGACGGATCTTAACGGACTTCGTAGGTGTCCAGGGCAAGGAAAGTTGCCATCGCCTGCTGCGCCTGGAGCTGGAGCTGGAGCTGGAGCTCACCACCTTTCGCCGCCTGGAGCAATGGATGTCATTCAAGATGCGAAACAGACAAGTCGCACAATTTCGGCCTCAACAGACTAGCAGCTCTTTGGGTGGTCGGGCCAGTTGCAGTGCTGGAGAATCCCATCGGAGCTGATGAGAATCCACCAGCTGTGCTTTGTGCAGGCACTGAAAACCCAGCTGCAAAGGCCTCGGCTGCAAGTGATATCAGGCGTCGCACAGAGATCATGGGATTTACTGTATGCTGATTGAGCTCTCGGCAGCTGCAGCACCTGTCCAGACATGGCTTCAGTGAAGCCAACTGCTGCAGCAAATTGGAACAATCTCGCTGGCAGGTAATAACATCAACTTCCATTGGTTGCTGGCGTCGGCTAGCTCAAGTCACAAGGCCAAATTTGCCTCTGGCATGCCTTCTGGGTAACTTGCTTGCTCGCAGTTACCCTCACCAATGATACCCCGAGCACTATTCAGCATACGCAAAACTGGCCGTGCTGGGCTAACTCACCCTTGGCCGTTTGCCGATTACGTGGGCACATACAGCATCAACAGCAGTAGAAGCAACACCAGCAGCATGATCGCGTTAGCGAGGATATCGAGTATCATTCGTTCCGATGCCCGAATCCAGTGCTGATCCGATCTCATATTATCACGGCAGCACAGAAATCGTGATGGGGTTTGCAGTCCACGTTTCCCTCCGTGCGTGTGACGAGTTTCAGTATCCCAGCATGTTGTTTCTCAAGTGTTGAACGTGGTCAGGGCTCGCGTGCATCTGTACAAGTGCGACTGTGAAAGAGCACACCCCCCGAAATGTTGAACGTTCATGTGGCCACGTATAGCCTCGATACCCTTCTCATGACATGGAACAGCGACACAGTGGGAGTCGCTGCCCTGCTGTTTTGTTGGTGGCTTCCTGCTGCTGCAATGAGGACACATCCGTGATCATCTGTGCCTATCTCTGTCATCAAACCGGCGGGCCACAGAGAGCTGCACTATTCTACAGCCATCTGCGACCAACCTGCTCCAGTCTTCTCCGCCAAGGCCTGAGCTACAACAATCTCGCGCGCACACACATACACACGCACTCACACACAGATGCAAATAAAGCAGTAGATAAAGACAAATGCAGACCGAGAGACAGAGAGAGAGAGAGAGACAGAGAGAGAGAGAGAGAGAGAGAGAGAGAGCGAGAGAGAGACAGACAGAGACCGACAGACACGCAGACAGAGAGACTGATAGGCAGACAGAGAGACAAACAGACAGACAGACAGACACTGGACAGACAGACAGACAGCTAGGCAGGAAGGCAGGCAGGCCGGCAGACGGACAAAGACACAGATACATATATACGTATACATATGTACACATATACATATAAACACAAAACTGCAAATATGTATGCACATACGCATATATGCAAATACAAATGTACGCATATATACATGTATACATCCAATCTACACACATCTACACATATATACATGTATACATATATGCATCTACACATCTACACTTCTGTACCTATAAACCCATACATATATATAAACACATATATACATGTATACATGTATACATCTTCTTCCAGACGCAGCGAGGAGAGTTCGCCTAGCGAGTCCGTAGCAAAGCCACTGTGGGCTTCGGCACCTCAGATGGGTGCTAGACTACTGCACTAGCATCAGGCCATACTAGCCGTCAATGCAACTCCATCATCCATCAGATGTCGAGGATACAGGACCTGAGTGCTCCGCCGGGGATCGGATGGCCCAAACAAGGTATGCGTTGTGTGCTAAGGCAGTGAAGTCCGCAGCATTGCATACTCTGGCAGGCGTGCTGTCCTCTGTAATCCACGATTGCTGTATGGCGGAATCATCTTGAGCGTGCCACTGATCAATGAAGTTTTGCAGAGTTGCATCCCCTGTCAAGGGAAGGAGCACAGGAGAAAATGCTGGACCAGAGTCCACAACCTGACAGTGATCACCAAAGGTCTGCCTGGCTTGCCACATGCCCACGAAAAGAGGCGACCGGATCCTAGGCGCAATATGCTGAACAAACTCGCCAACATCATGCTGTTGAAAGGGGGTGGCCCATGGACTGATAAACATTACCCAGGTAAGCAGTTTACTGATGTCCAATGGAGTGGCACGCTCACGCAGTGCCTGGTAGACATGTCGAAGCTGGCCCAGGTCAGCCTCATGAGTGGATCCCGTGCTAAGTATCACGACCAGTAGTGCATTCAGAGCACTGTTCATGTAGCAGGTCTTACAGGGTGGGATTGGCAAGGCTGATCGCAAGAAGATCAAGCTGATAAAGCACGGACACTGAGGAAATATGAGGCTCCGACCCTCCCACAGGAAGTGCTGCAAGGATTGGGCAAGACTCGAGTCGACCGGACGGTCCCGGCGGAGTCTGGCACCGAGAAGGTGCAGAACGGCACAATTGATCAGGGAGTTGAACAGCCGCCATAGCATGTCTCCATCCTGCCTCAACTCGACCTCCAGAACAAACTGAACCCACTGAGTCTTGTAGTTCTGACTCAATGGTCGTACACTCCCGAAGTGACGAATCGTAGTGCATCAGCTTCTCGATCTCCCCCAGGTCCTGTAGCAGCGAGTCCACCGAGCGACTCTCGACTCGGGGGATCAAGACCTCTTTCTGTGTCTCCGGATCCCACCTCATGTAATTAGTTCCAGTTGCCCTGGGAATCCACCCATTCCATTTCGTTGGCCTTTTTCTGCATCTCCGTCATGGCAGCTGCTGTAAAGCCCTTGATTCGGCCCTTGAGCTCTTGGATCAGCTCGCGCAACATGGTCTCGCGCAGAGATGACTGCACCTTGTTCTGATCCATCAGCTCGTGCCATCTCTTCGCAACCTGAGTCATGAACGGCAGCACGGATCCCGGTGGATCGGGACGGAAGAAAAAGTGGAGCTTCATGTCTTGTTGCACCGCCTGCAACTGCTTCTCGTGCCGAAGGAGAAGCCTCGCCATCTGGCCCAAGGTGGGAGGCTGCATGGATGACGACCCTCCCGAGGGTGCATGGCTCCACGCCTGGGCATCCCAGTCCGTCAGCGCTCCGTTGCCGCTGCCCGATGTATTCCACCAGGCTGATTTGTTTTGGCTCTGGCCCTGGCCCGGACCCCTGCTCTTGTTCCTTCCTTTTCCCTTGCCCTTTCCTTTTCCCTTGGCCTTGCCTTTGCCCTTGTCTCCCGAAGTCGGCTCGGCATTCAGCCCCACCTGGGGCATGGCTGTGTTTTCCGGATCCTGTCGCTGTCTCTTGGTAGACGGAGGCGGATTGTTCGACGTCTCCGCTGCCGGTGGGTGGCAACAAGACACAAGGTGCTGAAACATGGCCGTCTCCTGGTCGCGGGCACTCTGGGAGAGTGGTCCCTGCATGGAAGCAGGGCTTGCTGGTGCATGGGTCATGGCATGCATGTCCTTATCGAGAGTAGACTTCGATGAAGCAACAGAGTGTGATGACATGACATCGCTTCCAATGTGTTTGCTTGTCGAAGATAGATTCAAGACAGTATGGGCAAGGCTTCACCACAGCACGTTTCATGAGCACGGCAAGCTCCAGCACATATGGCCACAAGGTGTTCCAACATTCATGTGCATTAGCAAGGTGCACCTTCAAATTTGCACTAGTTGTGCACCACTGTCCACAACAGGGACAATGGTGTCTGAGTTCATCACGAAGGCCCGGCAACTTAATGAGGCCCTGCCATCCGTTATCTCGAGCATGTTGTAGGACCTCAGCACGTTGGAGGATGGGAGTGGAGCACATCTGACCAACCTGGCTTTTGGAACCAAAACCCGGCTTATGAAGTTGAAGGGCAGCAGCCTGTGATGAAGCAGACGAGTGGGTCCGCTCCACAACCAACGACCGGGGAGGACTGGCCTGAGTAGTAACTGATTGGGAGCCAACCTCCACAAGTGCCACAGCAGGCACAGATGAAGACGGGGCGGAGCCACGCATACTCAGAGAAGACAGATCAAGAGGGGTGGATGGCACAGAGGAGGAGGTAGGCAGATCAGGAGGGGGGACAAATGCAGGAGCCGAGGCACGAAGGGCAGAGTCAAGAGCAACACATCTCCCCTTCTGGATGTGGTCATGTAGCACAGACCACCGAGAGAAGACCTTCTCACATAAGGCACAAATCGGCACACCAGCTACAGAGTGAATCGGCGCACCAAGCGCACGCTTGGCAACAGTGTTGCGATGGTGCGCAGCTTGGTGAACACGAAGGGTGCGCAAGTCCGCAAATACAGCAGCACACTCTGGGCATGTGAAAGCAGGCGCACCAGAACTGGCGGAAACTGGCACGTCCGGGGTGCATGTCTCCCTAGCAGTGGGGCCACGACAATCATCAGTGTTGCCAGATTGCCAGGATCAACAAGCATGAGAAGATCGCGTGCCAACAAATCACACCCCTCAACCATGGGCGTGGACTCCAACCCCACTTCCATCGCCACCACAGTGCGCTCACGAAGGCCCCCCAGTGCACGCAAAAGGGAGTCACACACAGTAGGCACTCCTAATCGAGTATGAAGGGCCGGAGTGCTCTCAAAAGTAAGATGCGACTGAGAGCGCGACACCGCCCGCAGTTGCTTGGTGTAAACCGCCTGCAACTTGCCCAATTGTTTGGCATTGAGAGGAAGAATATGCAAACCATACAGGAGCGTAGGCGGCAGACACGCCCTCCAGAGACGCAGCCTCAGGTCTAATGCCGGAGCAGAGGCAGAGGTAAGAAGTGGTCGCAGCTTCGTCCAGGCACTCCAGGCGGCAGCAATACGATGCTCAACCGATAAGGACACGGCCTGGTAGTATGAAATGGTGAGTCCCAAGTAGACATGTTCCTCCTTGAGAGGGATATCAAATGTCCGTCCAGCAGGCGTGCAGAAGTGCACCACACGTCCCTCGGGGCCTTTCCGAATATGACTCTTGACCCAAGAGGGCGCAAAGCCTCTTGTGAGGCGAAGCAGGAAGGCTGACTTCTTTTCATTGACCAAAAGATGGGACTCAATGAGTTGATTAAGGAAGCAACCAAAACGCCGAGGTGCCCGATCAAGATCCGTGACCTTACGAAGATGCGCCCCCAAATGGAAATCGTCTGCAAAAGCAGTCAAATGTCTGGGTGTCCAGCTGGAGTCAATGGCCTGATCGGTTCTGCGCATTACAACAGCAGTCGCTAAAGCCCACAGGAATGGGGCTGGGCTATGCGGCACCCCTGCCTGACACCGCGCTGCACATCTACCTGTGCAACCGCGCTGGAAACACGAAGATGATAATGCAGATCACGATCAGCTCATAAAGCTCAGATGGGACCGAAGCCTGCTGAAGAGCCTCTCGGATATAAGCGGCCATTCCAACCAGTCAAAGGCCTGCGAGAGGTCCAATGACAGTTGTATGGAGCCACCAACACGACGCTTGGAGGGAACACTGAAAGCGGCGGCAGTCTGCTGCGAGGCAACAGCACAGCGTTGCTTGTAGACGTCATACTTTGGTGGCTCACAGTACGCCTGGCCATCGAGGCAGTGTCCCAGCACACGAAGAGCTGGTCGGTTGAGCGATCAGCCAAATAAGCAAACTGAGGATGAAGATTCAAGAACTCAGTAACGAAGGGCTTGAGTTTGGCCTGAATGAGGCCACAGACAGCTCGACGTGGCCGCAAATGCCGCGGCAGGGTAGGAGTTGCAATTTTCGGGAGCAGGGACATCCAAGTATCCTTCCAATCTTGCGGAATAGCGGTGGCCGTGCTGAGAAGCGTACGCAGCCACGGAGAGACCGTGGTGGATCAGGCTACCCAAACCGATGCATGCGCCATATGTTTGGGCGCAGCCTTGTGGGGAGAGAGAGATGCCAGAGGGCACCTTCAACGGAGTCAAGATCGAGCCGAGCAAGAGGCAGAGTAGCCTTGCGGCTCTGCCCAGCATCGGTGACCTGGATCAAGGAAGTAGATGAGGGCTCGTGCTCAGTGGCATAAAGGGCATTATAGTATTGCTGCAGGGCACGTACTTGCTCACCATGAGGATCTCATTTTCAGGACCCCGAAGTTGCAATACACGCCGCTTCTGTTTGGGGCAGAGACGAGACACAAGCTGGAAGAGAGCTCGAGTATCACCTTTGCGGGCAGCAGTCTCCATAATGTCAACCTGTGCACGAAACCACTCAGCTTTGGACCTCCGATTCCCAGATACATCGCCTGGAAGCACCGGACGTGCCTCGCCATTGACGGTAGGCAGACCACATGGCCTTCACGGAAGTCGCAACGGTATGTGAATGCCAGGGGACAATCCGACCATTCTGCGGCAGCGGCACGCATTGCAGAATTCAGCTCCCCCACTGACGCACGAGGCTGTGAGAGCAGGAACTCATGGATTCTGGCATTGAGATCTATAATGCGTGAGTCAGACTCAGAACGACAAACCTGCGCAAGCGTGCTTGTGTCCAATATCGGAGTAGAGGCGCGTGCTGGACGTGCCAGGGCACATACAGGTGGAAGCTTAATGGACGCTAACACGGGTCGATGGAAGCCCCGGGCCCAGGGCACGGGACCAGCCTTTCTGGCAACAGGGTCACCAAGGCCGTGACGTATGAAGATGTGATCAATGAGGGAAGAGTGATCACCACACACATAGGTAGGCTTAGCAGATCTGGATGAGGAGTTTAGGTGAAGCAAATCACAATCCACACATAGGTCTTTGAGAGTACCTGCATCAGCAGGAGAGGCGGTGGGAAACAACCGCACACGATTGCCCACCAGTCGAGGAATCGTCTCAATGGGTGAGTTGAAGTCACCACCCATGACAAGCACATTGCGAGCCGGCAGGGATTTAATCAAACCTTGAGTCGTGGACCAAACCTCTCTGCCTTTTTCTGTGCACATTGGCTGCAGCACATCTCCTGCTTTCCTAGGTCTTTGGTCATTTGGCTCCAATGCCTGGGTCCCAGATGCCACTTCAGACACGCTACCTGGAGTTGCGTTAGGTAATCCTGCCACTCCATTACATTCGCATAGTTTTACATTTGTCGCTGGACCCGGTCCCAGATCCGGGCGAGAAGTCACGACTGGCTTTGCCCAATTGCCTTGGCACATTACTTTCATTCCCGTTGCCATCTTTGGACAGCTTTGTGATGACTTCTTTGAGCCGAGGGTTGGGCGCTCCAACCGCCCTGAATCCACTTGTCAAGAGCACGCTTGGCACTCTAGAGTGAAGCTCCGTCATAGACTCGTGGAGAAGCTCGGACGAATTACACAAAGTGCTGCCTCTTAGGGCCACTCTTGCACAAACTCCATCCCACCAAAGATCTCCGCTACCAATCCACTGGTGCGCCACCTGCGAGTGGTTGGCTACCTGTTCGTCGATGGTGAGTGATGATGCAACTCGGACCTATTCTCAGCCAGTTTCCTCACTGATGCTTCCTGTACCTGACCATGCTGTTTGCTCGGATGTTTCCCCTGCGACTCCCTTCAGGGAACGCCGCACCGTCCGTCCTCTTGTGGGTGGCTTTGTTGCTCGCTGTTTTCGGTGGCTGGTTGTCGCTCAACTCCCAGCAATGAGCAATGGCCACAACCTCGCCCAGAAGCGAGCATACAATAGTGCATGTAGACGTGCGGCTGCCAGTCCGTTTCAGGGCACACATTACCGTGGTAAATGGTGTTCTTTGCACACTCTCAACGCCCGCAAGCAGGTCAAACCAGTAGTGCTTGCCAACAGCGCTCAGGTGCAGCCGTCCAAGACTGAAGTTCCCAGATTGAGGGTCGTCACCTACGATGTGGGGGGCTTGTCTTCTGTGGCGTACAGCGAACTCTTACAACATCTTGCCACCGTTGCTCCTGAGTGTCGACCTGATGTGCTCCTTCTTCAGGAGACGCACTGGCAGGAGAACCTTCGCTTCGACACACCCGGATGGTATGTCGTCACGTCCTGCACTCCCTCTCCCCAGGCTGGTGGTGTTGCTGTCTTGATTTCTGATGAGCTGTGTTCTTCGGACTCTGTCCTACTTACTGCTCTCATTCCTGGGCGCGTCATGCATGTGAGGCTGCTACTGACTGGCTGTACCCTTGACCTTGTCAATGTGGCCATGACACAGGCATGCTGCAAGTGCCTTGGAGAGCTCGACCGAGAACTGCTTCAAGGGGTCGCAGGCGTCCTCCCTGTATGCTCCAAGACTTCCCGGAGGAACAGACCATGGTTCTATCACTGGGGTGAGTTGCTGGGCCGAAGAGGCAGCCTGCTGAGATTGGGAGGAGCTACTGGCCACAGGTGGAGTGACTCCACCCTGCAAGGCAAGGGAAGTTTCTCCTCCTTCCGTGCTCACCTTGCCTTGCCGGGGGAGTTGCTCCACCCGAGGAACCTGCAGCTGGAGAGGATTGCTCCACAGGCTTTCG